GCACCTTCCCTTTCTCCTGGGCAGCTCTGCCTGGAGCGTGGCCCAGGGTGGCCAGGCCAGCAGAGGAAGCAGGCCTCCTGAGGGTCTTGCCCAGGGAGCTGCCCTGCAACGGCGAACCCCACCCCAAGGGGGTGCCCCATTGGTCTGCCCAGACCATCTGCCTCTCTGCTGGGGGTGGACATGACCAGGGGAGCCTGAGGCCTGCAGACCTGCCAGGAGGCCCTGCGGACACAGGCTGGAGCCGGGGCAGATGGAGACCTGTCCTAGCCCCTTAGTCCCTGCTGCGGCCCCGCGCCCAGGAACATGAGAGCAGGTGCGCCGAGCCATGTCGTAGCCTGCCAGGCTCGGCAGACGCCCCTGTCCCTCGCGGGCCAGAAGGTGGGGCGGCCTGCGGGGCCCGGCCCCCGCCTCTGCCCCTAGTGGCCAGGAGGCATGGGAGGCCATGGGGCACCTCGAGAGGGGAGGGCTGGGTGCTGCTCGCCCGCTTCCCAGCCCCCTGAGCATCCCAGGGCTGAGGTGCCCCCCGCCCTTCCCCCGGCACAGCCTCTTCCCCAGACACAGGCGGGCACTGTTCAGGGCTGGCAGGACAACAGTGCCTTTGTGGCTGGCGTCTGGGGATGCCATTGGTGGCCTGGAGTGGGTGGGGAGGGGATGTGGAGGCTTAGGCCTGGGGTCGGTCTGTCCCTGTGGACTGGGCCCGGGTGGGGATAGTGTCAGCCTGGGGGAGGGGGCTGGAGGGGCATGATGACCTCGAGGTTCAGCTCCAAGGGCCTGGGCCAGCAGCCTGCACATATGGGGGAAACTGAGGCACGGGGCATGGTCGGAGCCCAGGTCCAATTGTGGGTGGGCACGTGTGTGCGGGAGGTGGACGCAGGGTCCCTGCCCTGAGGGTGTGCTGTGAGCCCAGTCAGGGGCCGTGGTGCAGGTGCGGGCACTAGGTGTCACGGAGGTCATGTGCCCCAGGCCGGCCGTGTCTGAGCCCCTCAGCTATCAGGCCTCACTTGGCACACCCCCCGGGGCAGGCCTCTCCTCCCAGCACCTCAGCATGGAGCCTGGGCGTGCCTCCTGCCGTCTGAGCTGGTGGAAGTGTGCTGGGCATGTGCGTGCACATGTACACACACATGCCTATGCACACATATCTGCCCTCCCCCATGTCAGGAAGGGTACCACCCACTTGCCATGGTGTGTCTCTTAGGACCCTCAGTCCCCAGACTGCCCTCCTGGCCTGGACACCGTGTGGCATCCCTGACCCTCCCTGCACACCCCACCCTCAACTGTCCAAGGGACCCAAATGGATTCCAGATAAAGCCCTACCCCACTCATCCTCAGGATCCTGCCCAGACACCACGCCTCCAGGATGGCCGTGGGGCACCAGGCCAGATCAGGAGCCTCCATCGCCCTGTCCTGGGTGCCCTGGGGTGGGGTGGACTCGGCTGCCAGCCCTCACTACAGCATGTGACCTGGCCTGGCACGGGACAGACCCCAAGGAGGGGGTGCCCAGCCCTGCCCGCTTTTTGTCTCCCTGGGCCTGCTCTGGTGCAAACAGATAACCATGCAGGAGGCCTCAGTGCCCATCGGCAGGGAGAGCTGCCATGCCAGCTTCCTGGGCCTCCTGCCCAGCTCTGCCCTATGGCCTGACCAGAAAAGGCGGCCGGGCCACTGGTACAGCTCCCACACTCTGGTAGCTGGGACGGCCTCTGGTCAACAGCCTCCCCTGTGGCCCGGGCTGTAAGCAGCTCGACTCAGAGATGCCCTGGGGAGGCCAGGGTGCCAGGGCCTGACCTGAGCCCCACTGCTGTGGTCGCCCATGGACCGCAGGCTCCAGGGAACCCTCCTAGAGAACTCTGTGAATGGCTCCTCCGTCTGTCAAAGGTTCAGTCCCGGGGCTCAGGGACAGTTGCCCGAGGACCCTGGCATTACCCTTACCTGCCCTGATCCCAACCTCCCCAGACCACTACCTGCCCAGCGTCCCCCTAGGCCCACTGCTGGCTGCCCACACTCACCTCCGGGTGGCCCCAAGGGCAGCCACGACTGGGGAGCTGTCCCACAGCTGTGGGACCCTGAGAGGCCTCACCCTGGCAGCACTCACAGTGGCGTGAGGAGCGGCTGACGGTATGAGGGCTGACCTTCAGGACGCCAGGAGGGCTCCTCTCTGCCCAGCTCCCAAGGCCCTGGGACGGCAGGAGTCAGCCCAGATCCCTCAGCTCTGGGCGGCGCCTAGTGCAGAAGGCGTGGACCGGGTCCACTTCCACCCTGGTACCACCCGTGAGGCCGCGCCGGAGCACAACCCCTCTGTGGTGGTTGGCATGCCCGTCTGTAAAGTGGGCTCGTAAGAGCCTCCCACTCCAGTTGCTGCCTTACAGACAGGTGCCTGCCACGGGATGGCGCCCTGCACCTGTCCCACCCCCCTGAGCTCACGATGTCTTTGGGGCCTGCCTGGGGCCCCTCCTAGGCCCGTGGGCCGCAGTGTTGTGGGCAGCAGCCCTGCCCTCCTGCGGCACTGCATGGCAGATGTCAGCTGAGTGTCCAGGCTGTACACGTTTCCAGATGGGGACTACAGCTCTGGAGACACTGCAGGCCTGGACCCGCTCCTCCACAGGTGGCTCTAGGTGGGGCTACCAGGGCCAGATGCAGATGGACAGGCTGGCCCAGCATCTCAGGCTGGGCAGACCCTCAGGACAAAGGCTCGAATCTGAAGGAGACCTCTTCCTGGGACAGGACTAACAGGGTACCTGGGCCACCTTGCACGGCGAGTGGGACTGGGCAGGATGAAGTGCCAACCTGTGGAGGGGCAGCCCCCGGCAGGGGTCAGTGTCCTCTGGGCTTTGTCGACATCATCCTGAAGCTGAACCCTGGGACCCTGCAGGTGCTGGGGACAGTCTGTCCGGCCTGGGCTCAGTCGGCGCAGGGCTCAGGTGAGGTTCTGAGCTTCAGTTATCATGACCAGAAAAACTGCCACCTCCATGCCTGGGGGGCTGGCTCTGGGACCCAGCAGATGGGGATGGGGCCAGGGCTGCGAGGCCCACATCCAGTGTGTCTGGGGCTGGATGAGGGCTTCTTGGAGGAAGAGGCACAGCAACATCTTCCTTGCCCGTCCCAAGGTGAGAAGGTTGCTTGGTAGATTCGTACTTTTTTTATTTGTCCTTTTTTCTTGCCGGAGGGCATGCGTGAGGCAGAGAGAGGGAGAGCGCTCGGAGTGGGGTGTGGCACCTTCATGCCTGTGCCTGGCGTAATCTTCAAGCCACTGGAGCCGGGGCTCAAGCTAAGACCCAACTTCCTCCACACGCTGCTTGGCGACCAGGCATGAGCTGGCCCTGCCCTTCTCTAAGTCTCCTTCTGGGAGGCCCAACCTGACCACTGACAGGACCACCAGGGCTTGCTGCCCCTGACCCAGTGACCCCACAGCCGCAGCCTCACCCTCTCTGCTGGTGCCACCTCCTGCCCCGCCAGCCACAGCTGTCCCCCGCCCAGTCCTGGCTTGCTGAGAGCAGAGGTTCTCAGCCCCGTTTCACAGCCAGGAAGCCGGGTCCAGCCACGGGCACCCTGGCCCAGCCACGGGCATCCCGGTCCCAGAAGCTCAGGACCAGGCCCAAGGCTGCCCCTGCCCACGCTTTGCCCATGGCCCGTGTGGGAAGGACAACGGGAGGGGACTGCAGAGTAGTGACTGACCTTGTGTCTCCGGCCAGCTGGGCCTGGGCAGCAGGAAGCGGCCAGTCCCCACAGGCGGCTGCTGGCGTGTACACGGTCAGCAGAGCGGAGGCGTCCGTGCCAGGAGGCTAAGGGCCTGGGGGAGGTGGCTGGCTATACTCCCCCCTCCACTGGCTCAGCTACTGGGGGGCTGGCGGCTGGCCAGGGGCCTTGGGAGTGGTGAGGAACTTCTGTCTGGAAGCAGAGGGACCTCCCCAAGGTCCCAGGCAAGGCTGACCCAGGGCAGGCTACTCTGCTATGTCCCTGTGCACAGGATCCCTGTGGAGCTGGGCAGCCACCCCAAGGCGTAAGTCTGGGCTCTGCAATCTCAGTCTGGACCCTCCTACCCACTCACGGTGCCCTTGATAAGTCAGCCCTGAGCACATGTCCTCAGCACGGAAGGGGCAGCAGGACCAGCCTGTGTGCAGAGACAGGGTGGGCAAGGTGGCCCCAGGCGGATTCTCTCCCAGCCTGTCCCCCAGGCTGCACCTGCGGCTGGAGGGCCAGAGGGGCAGGGGGTCCTTGGCATAGCAGGCTGGTTGGAGGGCCAGAGGGAGGCTCCCTGGCAGGAACACATGTGAAGTTGGGAATGGGCTGCCCAGGCGGCAGCAGGGCAGGGCAGGGCAGACTGCCGGCAGCCCTAGCTGACCACCTAGCCTCACTGCCCCCTGGGGAGGCTGTACCTCCTGCTGCAGGGTCTGCAACCCATCTAGTCCTGGGAAGAGCCCTCAGAGTGTGCAGGGGTGGGGGGAGCACGGTTAGAGAGGGAGGAGCCAGAGGACACCAGGAGAGAGCAGCGAGGCCAGGCCTGCTTTCAGTGGGGTCAATGGCAGGTGGGCTGGCCAGAGCTTAGCTTGCAGGTGACACCTCGGCAGGTGGCTGACAGGAGCCCGGGAAGGGGCCGGGGGCCAGGGCCCACACCCACCACTCAGAGCCCTCTCACCTCGCCAGTAGGCCCAGAGCCCAGGTCTCCGGGGGCTCACACCATCCCCTCTGCTGTTTATCTTCCAGCTGCCACCGGCTGTCACAAGCAAACCCCAGGGCCCTGGACTGTAGGAGCCACCATCACCCTCTGTGTGCTCTGAAGCCTTGCCTGCCCTCCACCCCATCCCCAGCACCCCGGCTCCCTGCCCCCGCCCGGCTGCTGTCCCGGACCCTGGCATGTCCAGGCCTGGCCCACGCCTGCCTGCCCAGCCCGCGGAACCCCGGCGGCCCCGCGAGCTAGGATGAGGGGCCAGGCCGCCGCCCCGGGCGCCCGGGGCCGAGGCCTGCGCCACTCTGGTGCAAGGCAAGTTCTTCGGCTACTTCTCCGCAGCCGCCGTGTTCCCTGCCAACGCCTCCAGTTGCTCCTGGACCCTGCGCAACCCAGACCCGCGGCGCTACACGCTCTACATGAAGGTGGCCAAGGCACCCACGCCCTGCAGCGGCCCCGGCCGCGTCCGCACCTACCAGTTCGACTCTTTCCTGGAGTCCACGCGCACGTACTTGGGCGTGGAGAGCTTCGATGAGGTCCTGCGGCTCTGCGACCCATCGGCGCCACTTGCCTTCCTGCAAGCCAGCAAGCAGTTCCTGCAGCTGAGGCGCCAGCAGCCGCCCCTGGACTCCACTGCTGGCACCCCACGTAGGCCCCCAGGCCCAGGCGATGACTTCTCCGTGGAGTACCTAGTCGTGGGCAACCGCAACCCCAGCCGCGCCGCCTGCCAGATGCTGTGCCGCTGGCTAGATGCCTGTCTGGCTGGCAGCCGCAGCTCACACCCCTGCGGCATCATGCAGACCCCCTGTGCTTGCTTGGGCGGTGAGGCTGCCCACCCCGCCTCTGGCCCCCTGGCCCCCCGTGGGGATGTCTGCCTGAGGGACGGCGTGGCCGGTGGCCCTGAGAACTGCCTTACCAGCCTAACCCAGGACCGGGACGGGCATGGCGCTGCAGGTGAGTGACGACTGGGAGGGCACAAAAGGAAGCTCTGGGACAGAGGGAGGGTTAGAGTCTTCTCTCAGGGCTGTCCTGGCCAGTAGCTCGCCAACCAGCAGCCCCTCCACGGATGCTGTGCAGTTACAGCTCACTGAAGGTGTGCCCAGGCCCGGCATGGGCCAGCCAGTGCTCGTCCAGGGTAGACTAGACGGGAGGAGAGAAGAAGTGGATGGGATCCCCTCCGTTTTCTCTGGCAGAGCAGCTCCCATGGGCCAGAGGCTGCCGTGGCCGGGGTCTGTGGGCCACTCCCTACTGGGGTGGAGGGCCATCCTGGAACTGGGCCTCGGGCCGCATGGGTAGTGAGCAGAGAGCTCTCCGGGACGCAGAAGGAGACGAGGGCTCAGGGCTGAGTGGTGTGGCCACACAGATCACACGGCAGACCGGGCACACGAGTCCTGGGCGCTGGGCACGCTCTTCTCTGGAGTGAGGGTCTCCGGGCGCAGGGAGCACGCCAGAGACTAGCCAGCTGCAGACCCTCTGCCACGAGGGTGTTGCCAGAGGCAAGACAGGGTGGCCCCTGGGGCAGCGCTGGCTAACTTGAAGGTCAGGGAGTCCCTGGGCCCCAGGGCCTTGCTCAAGGTTCTGGGAGTAGAGGGGTGGGCACTCCTGGAGAGGGCCAGCAAGCCTGGGTGGGTGTGGCTTGGCAGGGCCTGTGCAGAAGGCGAGGCCTGCGAGGCTGGCACTTGGGGACACGGCCTTCTCCAAGCCGGACGAGCCTGCGGGGGGTGCAGTGTGCTGGGAGCTGCAGTGGGCTGGTTGGCCCTGGGAGGTGGCCCCCACTGCTGGCATGTGCTGCAGGAGAGAAACGGGACACCCGTGGCTGTGGTCAGTGTGTTTGAGAGAGGCCGCTGCTGTGATGGGGTGGGGACTGAGGGACGCCAGGGGCTTGAGGTGCCAGGTGGGGACACCTGGGATGATGGGGCCTGAAGGGCAGCTGGGCCCTTAGCCTCCTGGGGCCGACAAGGTCTCAGGCTCCTGAACCATGTCTTCAGAGACATAGAGGGCTATGAAGGAGGCCAGTGGTCCTGAAACGGGGCTCTTCATGGCCCGGCCCTGGATCCCAGGTCAGAACCCTCGGGGAGTGTGGCTGGACTGGCCCGCAGCCCCAAGGCAGGGCCCAGGAGACCAGGTGGGAATCCTTGTCTGGGTGCTGGGCACATCGGCATGCCAGGTGGCACCAGCAGTGGGAAGGATGGGCTGAGAAGGAAAGGTCACTGTGACCTTGGAAGACGGGGGTGGGACAGAGTACAGAGGGCTCTTTTGAGAAAGCTGTGGCATGCTGTGAGTTGGGAGGACCAGCCAGGAGGGCACAGGCAGACCTGGCCCCATGCCCAGCTTTGTTGCTCCTGGCCACTTCACCCCTGAGCCTTGGTCCCGTCACCTGCTGATGCTCAGCAGGGCTCTCTGTCCACTTGGATCCGATGATTGGCACGGTGGGCCATGCCCACTGCCCAGGGGCTTGGCCCACCAGGGAAACTGAGCGTGCTCAGAGCAGTGTGGGGCTGGCTGGGCGGGGCTGGGCCCCACTGGATGCAGGGTGACAAGTGGAGGCTGCTGTGGGACCGAATGACATGGGCGCTGGAAGAAGCGTGGGGCTTTGTTCCTTTGCCAAGCACCTACTATGTGCAGCAAGACCTGAGAATGGACTGTTGGCCAGGCCTCCGGGAGGGAGTCTACATGTCACCTTGGGAACTGAAGGCCACAAGAGCTAAGTGCTCCGGCTGGAAGTGCAGTGAGGACGTTGGGGCTCAGAGGGGCAGCTCAGAGGGGCAGCCAGGGAGCACAGGTGGCGTCGCAGATTCCGGAAGGGGGCTGGGCAGGCCTGGCCAAGGCACAGCAGCAGCAGTGGGCAGGAAGAGGAGGCCTGGCATGGGGCTGGCCAACTTGCTGAGGGGACCGTGTGAACACGAAGGAAGGCAGGGGAAGCCTAGACCCCCTCTAGGCTTCAGGCCCTATGAGGATGTCGGTGGAGATGGGTGAATCTGGGAGGAAAACCCAGAGGTCAGAGTGGAGCACAGGTGAGATACCTGTGGGTCGGCCAGGTGGGGGTGTTGTGAGTAGGGAGCAACGCCAGAGCCAGGCCGGGCTGGGGCAGTGGGTGCTCAGAGCTGGCACTGGAGCCTGGTTCAAATCCCAGCCTGACCCTGGCCTGCTGTGTGTCCTGGGGCCGAGCCCATCAGCTTTCTCCTCCCCTCAGGCTCCTCATCTTTGAAACAGGACTGGTCCAAATATGCCCTTTCCTGGATCGCCGTGAGGAGTGACAGTGGGAGTGAGGCATTTCTGAGAGAGGCAAGTGGGTGAGGGCCACCAGTGTAGCTTGTCACAGGCAGGAAGCTGGAGCGGGCTGGGGTGGCAGAGTGGTGGCAGGGACATTTGTGGTCAGGCCTGGGCAGTTTGGGCATGCGTGGAAAGTCTGAGAAAGGGAATGTTCAGAAGCGGTGCCCAGGAGGCGGGCATGTGTGTGTGTGTGTGTGTGTATGTATGTGTGTGCGTGTGCATATGCACAAACATTGCAGTGTGTTCATGGTGTTCATACATGCATCTGTGAGTGTGTGTGTGATTGCATACATATAGTACAGAGTTTATGGGTGTTCATTGCTAGCAAATGTGTGAGTGTGTGTGTGCTCACAACACATGGGGCATGTGTGTTCATGTGTGAACTATGCAAGCAGAGCATATTGTTATATGTGTGCACACGTGGTCTGTATGTGTGTACATACATGCATGCATGTGTACAGTGCATTATGGACTGCAGAGGGCGCAGCAGTGCTGCTGATGTATGCTTTGGTGTGCATACATGCCACACTCAAGTACGCATGTGTATATATACTAAGGTATGTGTGGGTACCTGTGCACTCATGTATGAATGATATGCATGTGTGCGTATGTAGTGTGCGGGGTACGTGTATTCGTGCACATGTGTGCGTGTGTGGTGTTTTGTATTTGCATGTGTGTGCATGTATGCAGTGTTGTGTGTGTGCAATGCATTGTGCTCATATATGCATGGATGCAGTGTGTACACATATGCAGTGTTGTGTGTGTGTGCAATGCATTGTGCTCATATATGCATGGATGCAGTGACTTCTGTGTACGTGTGTTCATGCATATATGGCTGTATACTATGCACACAGGTGCATGACATGTACACACATGCATGTGTGTTCATGCATGCAGGTGTTTTCTGTGTGTGCTGTGTGTATGTGCCTGTTGTATATGTGTACATGTGGATGCAGGTGTGCAGTGCATTCCCATGTTCATGCATGCGTGTGTCGGGTGTGTGCTGAGGCTAGAGCTTATCTTCCTGGGTGGGCTGGGGTGGTGCGTGGTGGCTCTGGAAGGCCCTGAGCCGGCAGGACGTGGAACGAAGCCGGCCTGTGGAGTAGCGTGCACTGTTGGCAAGCACTGGGCCAATGCACTCACGTCACAACCAGCTCTCCCCTCCAAGCCCAGGAGCCAGGCTCCGGGGAGGCCTCTCCTGCCCATGCGCTCTGAGGTGCTGTCCTTTCCACCTGCGACTTGTGTCTTTGGGTACTTGCAAGGCTTCCTCCTTCCAGTCCTCATGCAGGTGGTACCTCAGCCAAGCCTCCTCCAGGGTCACACAGCTGTCAGGTGGGCTGATAGCAGTCCCCTTGTCACCTGTGGGCCACGTGGGGCTATGGGGCTCCTCTAGCAGTGACTTCTGAAGAGAGTCGTGTGTGTGTGTGTGCGCGCGTGCGCGTGTGCGTGTGTGTCGGGGGAGGGCATATGGACCAGAGAGGTCGGGTAGCTATTTGGAAGACACACAGTGGGGACAAGGCAGGCGGCCCTGAATCTCACTGGCTGAGCCGTGTGCCCAAGGGGCCTTTAGCAGGTGCTCCCCGCCAGCCAGGGGGAGACAGACAGGCTTGTCCCACACAGGCAGTGCATGGGCAAGCTGGAGAGCACACAGGTCACCCAGGCAAGCATGGCCCACTTTCAGCCCTGCTCCCCACCCGCCCTGACCAAATGCCACATGGCCATGTCACGCGTCAGGCTCCGCAAACATTCCTCAGGCTAGAGCAACTGTTCCCTCCCTCCCCACGCCGCCTGCCGCCGCCTGGTCACTGTCGCTGTGCCACCGCCCCATGCGCCTGGCCCTAGTGCACCACTCGCCCTGGTCTTGGTCCCCGCCCACCGTCTCTGTGCATGCCCTGCCCTGGTAAGATGGGACCATTCTTCTCAAGGATGGTTTTAAATATTCATGTTTTAATTAAAGAATTTTATTGCAGAAGCGACATGTAAGATAATGAAAAAGCAGCACCCTGGGGCTGAGAGCCTGTGTGCACGTGCCGGTGTGTGTCCCCGTGAGCCTGCCGGGAAGGGGGACAGTGGAGCTGAGGCTGTGGGTCCTAGGGGTGGGAGCTGTGATGCTGGGGCAGGGGTCATGACCAGGGCCAGCCTCCCTCAACTGGCCCTAGTGGACTGGACCTATGCAGCCCCTGCACGTATGCCCCTGCAAGGCACTAGAGGTGGCCAGAGCAGGGCTCAGACCCTGGGAAGGGTCTTGGGGTACAGGGCAACTTTGAGGGGTCAGACCAGCTTGGGATGCACGGGAAGCGGAGTCAGGGGTAGTGGCAGCACTTTCCAGAAAGGTGAGAATGGATGTCAGGTGGAGGCTGGCACCTCTGCCACCCTCCACCCTGAGGCCCAGGGAGAGGCAGTGACTTGTCCAGGGTATCCACTGGGCCTGCAAAGGGCACTGTCCTCAGGACAGGGAGGAAGAGGCGGCCAGTAAGCCGGAGCATCTGCAGACAGCTGACTTGCCCTCAGTCTCCCTTCCGTGAACAGGGGGCAGGCTGGAACCTGCTGCAGGGCCCACGGGAGGAGTGTACCCTGGTTGAGGTGCGGAGGCCAGGGTCTCACAAGGCTCTATGCTTTTCTTGCCCCCACTGAGAAGTGCCCCATGGGCAGCGGGCTCCGCTTCTTAGCTCCCCTGCTCC